TTGATTCCACTTTCAAGCCTTCGGAAAGCATTTTCTGATATACTCCTTTGTCTTTCTTTCCTGTAACCGTTATTTCGTGAGGGACTCTCCCACTTCTGTTGAAACCACACTTCCTATCGTCAGTACTTCGTTTCTTACGCAGTACAATCATGACAAAACGTGGACAGAGTAGTAAAAAGGCCAAAAATAATGCCCCGTCTATGGTTCCGCCGTATTCCGGCGGTGAAGGGGAAAAGGCGGAGAAGGCCTTTGTTCCTCTCAGCGTAGACAACGTCCTTCCGAAGGAGATGCATGTCCGCGGGGATTTTCCAACTAAAAGCCCGGACCTTCCCTGGGAGCACAGCGTTTTATTACAGTCCCATTTAGATGATCTGCGAGGGACGCACCATATTCCGGACCACGTGGAAATGGTTCCGGCCGGGACGGACTATGCCAATGTGCACCTGCCTGGATATTGCACATTCTACGAGTACCCGTTCTTGATCGGTTACAATCTTCCAGTCTACCCTCTGATGGAGGAGCTTTGCCGTTTTTATAATGTGTGTCCGACCCAACTCACTCCTTACACCTTGAAGGTGTGCCGTATTATGACCACTTATGCGGCCAGGGCTGAGTGCAGCATCTTGGTCCACCACCTCTTACGGTTATTCAGCCCTGGTTACCTGAGGGGTACCATGCTGCAGTTAAAAGGTCGTGGCACAAGGGGCTTGGTTGTTAAAGCCGATGATAAGCCCAACCGCTGCTTTTGGCGTAAATATTTCTACATTAGGACGGAGCACCTGGTGTCGAATCCCGAAGGGTTCCCGGAAAGATGGAATCCAGAACGTAAGTATTTCTACTCGTAGAATTCAGGACTGCTTGCGCTTTTGACCATACGGCCATTGTGATTTCTTTGCTTTTCTCCCTTTTTTTATTCGCAGCGAGGGCTTCTCCACCCCAGTTCATTGATGACATTAAATCATGGGTGGAAAGAATAATACCTTATGCGGAGGAATGCCGTACCTGGGCTGCATTTCTTCAACAGTACGGCCCGTCAGGTAATTCTTTGGCTACGATTTGGGAATTCCCTACGTTCTTGTTTCCTGACTTATTCGCGTTGGCAGGTCGGAGCGCTCCTAAGAAGAAGAAAAAGAACGTCGTCACCTCACCTGGGGCGGGGACCAATTATGAAGACGGATACATACCCTGTGGTTCGCCCAGTGAGGGTGCTGCGGAGGTTCCTCAACCGCTGCCCGTGGCGGCGTCCACGAGGGGAGCGACTCCTTCAATGCCATCCCCACGGGCTGTGAAGGAGACTTCTGAGAGCAAGGAGCTGCTGGAAAGGAAAAGACGTCGGTTGATAACCGGCAAGGGGATAGCCTCAGAAGACGAGGGGGCGAGCGAGCCCCATCGGGAGTCAAGGCCAGTTTTTATGGCAGATGCCATCCGTTCCGGGAGGTCGGCTCCCCAAGGGGGGGCGGTTCTCGA